AAATCCCATAAATTGGTCCTGGCACAGTGGGAACAGCCTGGATCTGTCCTTCCCAGCCCCACTGTCTGCCCTGGCTCTAATTGACCTCTGGAGAGAGCAGCATATGGCCGTGACAGCCCCGGTAATGACCGAGGCCGTGGCTCTGAATGTGATCCCAGTTAAATCAGGATTCCAGGAGCCCTTTTCCTTGCTGGCCACGGAGGGAAAAGGAAGGTTTTCCTGGGTAGTTCAGCCAGGAAAATGGGGCTCGTTTCCCTGCTCTGCCACTGGCTGGTGTGGCCATGGGTGGGTCACTGAACCTTCCCATTCCTCAGGTTTTTTTAGGAGCAAGGGAAGCAGTGGCTCTGCCCACCTGGACTGGGAGATGGTTCCCATGGTCCTGGAGCTGCACTGACAGGGTGGGTGACAGGAAGGTGGCACTGACTCCTCTGCCTGTGACACAGCCAGGGCCCCTTTCCACAGGCTTCCAAGCACTTTCTTTGGGAAGGGGTGGGTTTGCTGTCACCAGGGGCTGGATTTTTTTTTCCCCCTCTCTCAGAGCATTCCCATGTCCCCAGAGCACTGGCAGGAATTATTGACTACAAGATTCATGCTTTCCCCAGCGTTGCATGGGGGGTTGTTAGCATGGATACTGATTAATCATGCTCTAATTCATGGAAAACAGGCTTTTTTCCCCTCAAACCATCACCCAGTTCCTTTACCGTGTTAAGCAGCAGCAAAGTTCTGCTGCAGATGTGGGTTTGTCTCCGTGCTGAAGTGATTTTTGCCATGTGTCTTTTACCTCCTTCCCCAGAGGGATAATAAAGTTTAACTAATGCTCACAAAGTACTTGGAGATGCCTTTGAAAGGCTTGGAGGGGGGAACAAAGTATTTTCCCCAGCAAATTCCTGCCCTGAAGAATCCCGGAGAGTAGGCTCTGCACACTCCCATCAGCTGGATCTTGTTAGTAAACAAATTGCATTTTCCCATCAATTTACTAATGGTAATTGCCACTTTGAGGCTACAGTCAGGTTTTTGAAACAAAATTACGCCTGGCCCGTTCGTCCCAGCAGCTGTCCCTGAATGACATGGAATATTGATGTGCCTCTCCTTGGAAAAGGGGGTTGGCTTTTGGTGGCAAACACAAATTGTCAGCCCTGAACTCCTGACTGGTGTGGCTCAGGAATTCCAGTCACCAGGAAATAGAGAGAGAGAGAGGGAGAGAGGGAGGAGGTGTTTGAGGAGGTGTTTTTCCAGGTCTGGGAGACCAGGGGTGTCTTAGGCACAGCTGAATTGTGCTGGTTGAGGGTGAAGGGAGTTGGGAGAGCTGGAGGAGCTGCAGGGCTGAGCTCGCTGCTCTCAGGCTGCTGAAGAGGAGGGTGGGATGAAGGTTTTTCCCTCCCTCATCTGCTGTTGCCCCAAGCCCCTCCTTGGTGGCATCTGCCTGCCTTTCCCTGGGATTATGTCCCTTTGATCTGCACCTTTCCTTGCTGGAGTGACTCTGGGCACACGGGGCTGCCTGAATTCCTTGGGAATTGCTCCTTTGTTCTCAGGATCTGGTGGGACCAGTGGAGAAACGGGAAAGCATCCCTGTCTTAGTGCTCCACGGTGGCAATTGGTTTGGCTAAAATGGGCCTTGGTTTTAAATCCTGAGAGCCCCCGAGCCCGGGGTGTGCCTGAGCCCTTTGTGAGGCTCTGGGAATGTGCCATTCCCGCTGGGAAAGCTGACCTGGGAGGGGCAGGGCCTCAGGTCTTTCTGCAAAGTGCAGGTGGCAAAATGCACTTGTAATGGTGCTCTCAGCCTGGGCTGGGCCCTCTCAGGGGTCTGTGCTTCTAGAAATGGAAAACTCGGGGCATGACAGGACTGGGCAAAACCAGGCGCTCGTTTTTCAGGATCCAAGGGCAGATCAGGGCTAAAACTCTGGAATCCTCACAGAAACCCAGCGTTGTGCTGGGTGTGGGGCCAGACCCCTGGGCTGAAGAGCTTTGTGCTCCAAACTGCCCGTTCTTTTTGCACTTTGGGGACCTCTGAAGCCTTTTTGGGGGTGTGGGAACACCCCCGGGCACAGCTGTGCCTGCAGAGGTGACACTCCAAACAGCCCGGGGGTGTGATGTGATCCCTGCACCTGCCTCCTCCACAACAAAGAAGCCAGACCTCACTGCCCACCCTGCACCCACCCCAAACATCCTGGTGCAGCCAAACTTCCTCCAGCCAGGAGACTTGTCTCTTTTTTTTGGGGGGACTTCCCAGGAGCGGAGGTTGCCCGGAGCCCCTCCCTGCCGTGCTCCTTGCCGTGACCTTGCCTCCTGTAGCATAAATACCCCGAGCCACACACTCTGCTATATATAATCTGCTCTCCACGCCCCTCCCCGGGGAGAAGGCGAGAGAGCAAACATGTGCCAGGCGTTAGTCACGTTGCTCCCTCCTGGAGGCTGCTCTCAGATTCCACCGGGATAAGCCCAGAGCACCCTCCGGAGAGGTGATGGGTGCTGGCCCTCCTTTAGGCTCCTCGTGGTTCCCTTGCTGCTGGATGATCCTCAGGGAGGGGAACTGGATGCTGAGGGTTGTGCTGTGTGGGAAGGGAGGGTTTGGGATATCCCCGTTCCAGGGTGGTGTGTGGGGGCTTCTCATTCCTCTCCCTTTGGGAAGTGTCAAGCATGGGTGTTACTGTGGCAGCACACGGTGTTTAAAAAACAAACAAATTTTAAAAAAAAACAAACCTAACACGACAGCAAAAATAAACTAAACAAACCCATGTTTGCTTCCAGGTTGGTGTCAGGAGCAAAGGGCCAGTGCTGGCACCAGAAATGGCCAGTCCAGCTCTTCATCCAGGTTCTGGTGCCCAGCACAAACCCTGTCCTTCTCCCTGTCTGCTCCGGAGCTGAAATCCCATGGGAAGCACCCAGAAATCCCTACGCAGCTGGAAGGGAGGAAAAGCTTCTGCGGTTTGGGGGGGGGGGGGAGGAATTTTTGTGGCTGTTGTATCCCGGGAGGAGCGGGAGCACCTCTGAAGGGAAACAAGGTACCCCGGTGCACCATTTCTGCCAGTCAGCAGCGCGGCAACAGGTGCCAGGCTCGCTTTGTGGCAGAAACCAGGGCACCCGGAGCCGCCGGGAAGCGTTTGTGTCGGAATGTCTGCCGGGGAGGAGACAGTCGCTGTTCCCTCTCAGCCGTCAGCACCCTTCCTCCGCTCGGGAAGGAGCTGATAACGGCTTGTTTGTGCCTTCCCCAGCCGGGAGGAGGGCTGGGAGCGGGCGTGTGGCAGGAGCTGCGTCGGGCTTCCCCTCCTGGGAGACAGCGCTAATTAGTGGCTGGAGGCAGCGCCTCTGCCTTGGTACAGAATGAGTTGTTTTCTCCTCACCCCGAGGGGAAGTCGCTGCGTGGGACTGGGATGCAGCTCCCTGCGGTGGCTGGGGGCTGGGAGATCCCTTCCTCACCTGGAGTCTCCTCCCGTTCCTCGCCTCTGGCTCCGGGAGCAGCTCAGTGCAGGACTGAGCCTTGGCATTGCCCTCCCTGCTCCGGGGGGATTGCTGATGCTGGGAGGGGGTGACATTACTTATCCATTCCCCTGTGCAGTGTTTTCCATATATCCCAGAGCATTTTATGGGAGTGCTTAGTGCTGCCCTAAGGAAGAACAGGGCAGGGCTGTGCAGAGCCCCTTTTCTGCTCCCGACGGAGCCGTGGCCGGTTTGCTTCCCGCTGATATCTGGTGTGTGGGATGGCTGGCTCTGAAAATAGCCATCTTCTTTTTGTGGATGTGTCTTTCTCTCCAGTCTGACGTGTGTTAAATCTGGTCTGGTTATTCGTGATGGGGGAGAAGGGGGTGATAAGCAGGGGCCTCATGGAAATGGCTCACGGCACGTCTCCGGATCCCGTGGTCCTCGCGGGGTCGGGCAGGGATGTGGCAGCAGTTTGGGCAGTGCTGTGTGTCCTGTTGCACGGGGAATCCCAGAGCTGGAGTCCCTTCCCTCTCAGCCTGATGACTTGGCCCCTGTTCCCAGACAGCAGGGAAGTTTTCCAGCAGCTTTCCAAGCGGGCTGGAAGTCACTTGACCTGCGGAAGATTTTGGTGTTGGGAACAGACCCCAGGCCTGACTCGTGGCCAAACCCTGCTGGTGCCAGTGTTGTCTGCCTCTCTCTCCAGCATTACCTGCTTGGCACAGTAGTTATGGGAACGGAGTTGGAACGAAATCGCTTCCTAAATCCAGGCTGTTTATAGCAGCTCAGTGAGATGGGAGTGCTCTGGAGTCCCTGGAGTGGATGACACCAGGGCCCTCAGAAACACAGTGCCTCTTGACCTGCTCTTGATTCTGGCACAGCCTTGTCAGTCCACGGGCTTGTGTGGGGCAGGGCAGCCAGACACAGCCCAGAGGTGGATTTCTGTTGTTCTTTAATTATTATTATTAGTGCTGTCACTGCTGGGTGCTGCAGCACAAGCCTGTCTGCACAATAGTAGCTGAACGTTCATTCTTCTGCTTCCCTGTGTTCCTGTGGCTGCCACACATGACTAAGGAGCAAAAACAATCTAGTGGAGTGACTCATCCCTCCAGAGAAGGTGGGATAAGAGCAACAGGAGACAGCAAGCATGGAAACAGCATCCATGGGGACCTGGGCTGGGCTGCACCAAAGCTCCCAGAGTCCATCCACAGCCAAGACTTGGGTCATCAGTGATCTGTAACAGGGAGAACTGGTTAAGAAACTGGCTGATGCAACATTTCCTAAATAAAGGCAAAGGGGGCTTAGTGAAAACATAAAATCTGCTGTTTCTCGGCCTGTAGGGTTGTCTGGGTTCTCAGCTGTGTCTTGGATGGGCAGTGGAAGGAGAAAGGATGGAAGGAGGTGAGGACTCGGCACGTGTTGGAATGAGAGGGTGCTGTGGCTTTTAACCACAGTTGCTCCAGTCTGATGGGTTCCAGTGCTCCCAAACCAGGCTCTGGGGTGTTTGGCATCCCTGTAAGTCCACTGACAGTCCCTGCAGGGCAGTGGAACAGAGGTTTGAGTCTCCTTTTCCCTTCTCTTTCAGATCAACGAGCTCAGCAATGTCCCCGTCCCTGTCATGTTAATGCCCGATGACTTTAAAGCCTACAGTAAGATTAAGGTGGACAATCATCTATTCAACAAGTAAGTGGGTGCTTCCCAACTTCTTGGTCCCTAATGAGAGCTCTTTGCTGTGGGGCAGCTGGGGTGGTGAAGGCTTTCTGGGTTGTTCCCAGCCAAAATTCCCAAAGGATCTGGCATGGCTGGACACAAGCCCTGAGCCTGTGCCCTCTTCAGACCCCTCACCAGGACATGGCAGGGGTCAACCTGTCACTGAGATGCTCTTTTGTGGCTTGGTTTCTATCCTTTGAGGGATAAGACTGTTGACAGCCCTCAGGCTGTGCTGTGCCCCTGTCCCCATGGGGTGTCTGTGGAGTTGCTCCCATCTCCTTTTCCCAGAAGATCAGTTTTTTGGAAGCCTTTCTGGAGCCCTGGTGGTGGCTGGTGCTCAGAGCCGTGTTCCCCACCCTTGCTCCGTGTGAGTGCAGGGCTGCAGCACTCCCTGATTAATCCTTTGTTTTCACTGAGTTTCCCAGGGATCAGCTTTGGAGAGTGGGAGTGTGATTGGAAAGTTTGTCTTCCCTGGCACGTACAACGTGCAGGATCTGCTCTTCCCTCTTCTCCTGCACGGATTTTAGTTTCCCACGTTTTGGTGCAGAGGATTCTCACCGACAGTGAGCTGCCAAAACATCTCCCACCGTGTCCAAGCAGGACCATCCTCTCTGGGCAGGATCAGGGCAGGGCAGGGAGCAGATGCAGCTCTCAGGGACAGGGAATGCTGTGTGTTCCTGCTGTCCTGTGCTCGGGGGCAGCCTGGCAGCAAAGCTGAGTCTGGAACATGCCAGGCTGGAGCTGATTCCCCCCCTCTCCCCCGTGCTCCGGGTTTGTGGAGCGCTGACCTTTCCTTTGACACACGAGTGATCTGATGGGATCTGAAATCAGAGCCCACCCCCCCCTTCTCCTGCAGCTCTTCATCCTCCCCAGTAACAGAGCGAGCAGGGGGCAGCTGTGGGACTGCACAGCACGAGGGGCAGAGACAGAAATGATCCTGAGCTTGTGACAGAGCAGATTGTTCTGCAGGACAGGCATCCTCGCCCAGGCAGCCTGTCAGTCAGGATCCTGCAGCCATCCCCGTGGAGAGATGGCTTTTGCAGGCATCCAAACATCCCTAGTGAGGGGAAATACCTGCAGAGTGGGACCCTTGGAGGTGGGAGGGGGTGGGATATCCCTGGGGGGTTGGCAAAGAATCGAGTTTGATTTCACCAAGCTGCTGGTTTGGTTGTTACACACAAATATCTTTTCTGCCCCAGGGAGAACTTGCCAAGTCGCTTTAAATTTAAGGAGTATTGTCCACTGGTGTTCCGGAACCTCCGGGAAAGATTTGGGATCGATGATCAGGACTACCAGGTACCAGCTCTTCCCTCCCTGCCCTCCTGACACCCTTCCCTAGGTCAGAATAACCAAACTGCTGGAGAAACCAGGGTACAAACATTGTTACCATCAGCTTTTCTGGGTTTGTAATCGTGGCTTGAGTGGTTTTACCATAACAGCAGTGCAGGAGAGCTTGCTGTGCCAAGCACTGGGCAAGAGAAGGAGAAGATGGTCCCTGCTCTGGGGAGTTTGAACCTAGCCATGAAATAGGAGCCACAGTGGAAAGGCAGGAGCTGGAGGATAACAAAGATCCAGTGAGGAACATCTGCAAGGAAAATGAGTCTGGTGTTGCTTTACAGATTCACCTGAATCTGTAAAGTGTGTGTGTTGTTGAGTTGGGTGTATCAGGGTGTCTTCTGCTCTGGGACACGTCCCCTAAGGCCTTGGAGGGGACAGACTTTTTGGGGGCTTAAATCCAGGGGGAGAGAGAGAGAGAGAGAGAGATGTCACAGCTGCTGCTGCTGCTGCAGCAGGGCCACCCTTCCCCCCAGAGCAGGAGATGAGCAGGAGGCTGCCTGGGGATCTCAGGAACGAGGGGACAGCCCGTGCAGAGGGAGGGAGGCTTTGATGGCAGCCTGGGGATCTCAGGAACGAGGGGACAGCC